TTCATAAATAGCGTGTCCACTATTTTAAGCACTTTCTCTAAAGTTGGCAAGATAATGTCATATTAAAGCATATTTGGCTTCTTTTATCACAGTTGCTCTGCTGTTAAAAGTTTTTTTTGAAGTAACCCATCCTTGCTACAAATTAGCCATTATTATCAGCCTTCTGTTTCTAAAAGTTAAGAGTAATATATTTAGTTACTCTTGTTCCAAAGAGTTACCATTCAACTAACAAGCAAGGCACATTCTTCAAAGTACAAAATGCACGTCTTTCTCTTTCTATTTCTCTACCACTGTCAATTCCAAGCGGGCTCCTTCCTTCTCTATAGTTCCCCTGCATATTGTCCCCACCCTTCTGTCCTTCAAGGAAACAATTTCCAGGAGAGAAAGTATTGTTTTCACATCTTGATCCTAACATGCATCAGGTTTTTTAAGCATAGAAACTTGATTCAATTATTTCATTAAATATTACTGTGAAGAGATGGAATGAGTTGTTTGTTGTTAGAAGTGTCTGCCTAATAGTAATGGATAAGAAACTGAGTGAATTCAAAAGGGGACAACCCAGCAGTTCTCACCCACACACAAGTTTGATTGGTTTTCACTCAGATGTTACTTTAGCTCTAGAGAACATGGCTATACCTTAGTCAAGAGGAGTAATTGTCTGAAGTGGACTTGTCCATGAAAGCTCACATTAAAACAGAGTAGTTAGTCTTTAAGGTCCTATTTTAGGCTGCATTAACAAAACTGTAATCTCCAAATCCTGTTAGGTACTAGTTCCCCTTTATTTGGCACTGGTTAGGCCTCATGTTGAGTACTGTGTCCAGGTCTGGACACTGCCCTTCAAGAAGGATGCCGGTGAACAAGTTCAGAGGAGAGCAACAAGGATTATCAGGGGGCTCGAAACCAAGCCTTATGAGTTAAAACTGACAGAACTGGGCATGTTTAGCCTTGAGAAAGAAGACTGAGGAGAGATATGATAGCACTTTTCAAATACTTGAAAGACTGTCATACAAAGGAGGGGCAGGATCTGTTCTCAGTCATCCCTGAGAGCAGGACACGTGACAATGGGCTCAAGTTCTGGGAAGCCAGATTTCAGGGGAATATCAGAGCAGTATGACAACAGAACCAATTACTTCGAGAGGTCATGAGTGCTACAACACTGGAGACATTCAAGAGAAATTTACACAACCAACCGGGAAATATCTTCTGCTTTGTATTCCTGCGCTGGCCTTATAGGCCCCTTCCAACTTCATGGTTCTATGATTGTATGACATTTTTGTCTTCTCTATTTTTGTTTTGTTTTTACCTGACATGCTAGATATACTGTGTCTCTCAGAGATAATTAGGTGTTTAAAAAGTGCCCAAAATATCTGGATAAAAGTAAGAATAATTTATTCATGCCAAAAGCAAAAATCAGTGCATGGTAATTTCATGTGCTTTATTCTTTCAGGTATGCTTTGCTGATAGTGGACAGTGCCACAGCACTTTACAGGACGGATTACTCTGGCCGTGGTGAACTATCAGCCAGACAGATGCATTTGGCCAGATTTCTGCGTATGTTGCTTCGACTTGCAGATGAGGTAAACTGCTCTGAAATTGAACCCCCTGTGTTTCTCCCTTTTTGCTCAGTTTGCAATGTTCCAGATTAGCACAGTTGCAAAGATCCTTGTATTACTTCCAATTTAAGGCAGTTAAACTGGAACTGATGATATGTCTTTCCTATGACAGTTTGGTATAGCAGTAGTGATCACAAACCAGGTGGTAGCGCAAGTAGATGGAGCTGCAATGTTTGCTGCTGATCCCAAGAAACCTATTGGAGGAAATATCATTGCACATGCGTCCACAACCAGGTAAGACAGCAGATTGCTCATGTTTGTTTACACTGTTTTCAGGTTATTGCTTTAAGAGCTAAGCATTTTATATGGTTTGAGGTGTCAGTATAGAGTCTTGCTGGAAAAATTTTTTAATGTTTACCTTGTGCCCTTGATTAAAGCTAACTTTAACACAGTGCAAAATATATTGAAGTGATTGTATAGGCCCCTTACATTAGGTCTACTTAAATTTGTAAATATGTTGCTTCCGCAATACTCCGATTTGGATCGGCTCCCTTGACAGAAGGGGGAGGCAGGTGATTTCTTTTGATTTCTCCTCCTTCTGAAGCTCCGGCACTTCACATTGTCTGGCCCAGAGGTGGCATGGAGATTGCAAGGGAAGGGAGAAGTTGGAGGAAACTGTTACCTTCTCTCAGATGTTCATTAAAATAGAAACATTGGTTAAAAAAGCTTTCTGTGACAAAATGAGCACTGAACCTCCCATCTTCTTGTATAATAGATTGCCTGACCAGGGTAATCTTGACCAGTTCAATTTAAACTACTGCAGATCTTTCAGATCTGACTATGTTCTGCATGGTTGCATGTGGTGGTATTACCCTGTACAGCAGTCTGGCAAGAAGAAACTTCTGTATGAAAAGTGACTAAATATTTTGAAGGCTTAAAAGCATTTGTACTAATTGCAGGTTTTACGCCAGCCCATGAAGTTACATTCTTTGAATAATTGCAACAAAAAGTGACCACTTCCTTAGAAGGTTTGTTGTAGATGGTTGTACAGCATGTACATACAATATAGCAAGAGGAGCCGTGCAGGCTGCCCCATGTGCCGGGAAGCCTTCCCCCCCTGCCCAAGTTCCATTTGGGCTTGGTCCTAGAGACCAGGTGCTACACAAATGGCTTGCCCTTCCTTCCATGGCAGAAGGGCTAGCACTTGACATGGGCAAGCAAGAATCTTCATAGCCTACTCTCCCTGTGTTTAAATTGACAGGAAGGAGTGGAAAAGCAATAGCCTTCCAACCTATCCAGAATGGTGTTGGGGGAACTGATGTGGGCTGAGTGGCACAAGCTCTTTCACTGACCAGCGGTTTCCCCATCCAATACAGTATTCCCTCACTTGGCTGCATACAAGTGTTCACAATAGTTTTTTTCTTTTTAAAAACCATGTCCATAGTTATATTTTTACAGCAATTGAAAATGTGTCTGGGACATTCCAGCTCCTGTCTGCTCCTCTATAAGCAGGTGTTGGTGCTGCCAAATGGTGGTGGTAGTGGTGTGGGAACTGCAGGAGGGAAAACTGAGTCTCTGCAATCTATCAGTGGAACCTGGTCAAGGCTCTCACTAAGCAGGATGCATGCGTGCATGACTCCACCTCCCTCCGTGCAATAATCATATTAGGTTCTGGTTGCAATGGAACCCAGCACGCAGGGGGCAAAGCTGCACACACATGAAGTGGAGCCCTGCCCAGCAGGCCTGAAAATTAGAGGGTATATTGGACCTGGTTATGGACCATCTGAGAAAGAGGAGGCCAGTGAAGCAGTCTTCCAAGTCTGTTGTAAGATTTTCCCTCATTTATGCATTTATTCTTTGTAATTTATCGTATTTGGGTAACTGGGAGATTAATCCATCAGCAATTGGTTTGATATCAGGCCACAACAGATCTTTTAAAATTTAATAGATCCATTGTCCTAATTTGAATAAATGTACTCACTTGTTCTTGTCAGGCTGTACTTGAGAAAAGGTCGAGGAGAAACTAGGATATGCAAAATCTATGATTCACCTTGCCTCCCAGAAGCAGAAGCTATGTTTGCAATCAATGCTGATGGAATAGGAGACGCCAAAGACTGAAGAACATTTACATCTTGGGACAAACCCTAAGAGACTGTCCTTTCAATATCATTCTCTTTCTGGTGACTCTTCCATTGTAGACTGCCAGAGGAAGCTGTTATAAATGTGGTACACTCAGAGAAATTACTCTGTTGCTGCTTGTGTTGCTGCATCTTGTTCAAAACTGGAACACAACTGCTTTACACAGATCACTTGACATCTGTTACTGTGTTAGAGCCATTGTTTAACTGAGTCTGATGACAACTCTGAGAAACCACTTAGACTTTGTAAAGGCTAAGCTTAGGCAAAGCTTATATATTCATGAAATATGATGCATTAAACCTTGATTCCACGATTGCTGACGGAAAGAAGATGAATCAAAATCTGCTAAAAATAGAGTTGCAACACTGTTGGATTACCCCAACCCTGAGGCAGCTTCTAGTTCAGATTTTTCTGTTGTTGTAGTTAGCTGAAAATTCATTTGAACTAATGGCTATACATCTCTAGAACAAAGAATAGAAGCTGAAGTTGCATTTGCTATATCTTTTTATACAACTGTAAATTGAGAGGTTCTTTGGATCAGCCTGTAAAAGCTTCATCTATTTCACAGCAGCAATTTTTCATGTGTTGTACAACTGTATTTTCTGCCTGTAAATACTTTCCATATGATTTGATTTAATTAAAGTTAATTATATACTGACTGCTGTTACCTCTGGAGAGTGCTGTTTTGGTGTCTTTGTATCTCTTAAACAAATCAGTATAAAGGAAAGTATACTGCATAAACTGACTATGGATCCCGTTGAAAGATTAGAGTGGGCAGGGCAGTCATGTGGTCCAAACAAAATTAGATCTAAATGCACAAATAGGTGATATCTCTATAGACCACTTGTGTGATTATTTTTAAGTGGTCTATAAATGTATTGCCTATTTTTGTTTTTAGAGTAGGCAGGGGTGTGCTGTACTCCACAATCCAAATTCTATTGTGCAGCTTTGAGTTTCTTGTAGCTTACCTTGGGTTGTCTTGTAAATTGAAAATTTAGGAGGACCTCACAAGGAAAGAGTGAGATAGAGTAAGCAGTGAAAGAAAGGTAGAGAAACCTCTAGAATGGCATGAGCTGCTCAGAGGATAAAAGCCCCTTTATTGCAATTTAGCAGAACTTTAAACCAGTGGTATTATTTCAGACCTTTTCTCTGTAGTAATAGCACTTCTTTAGTGATAAGTACCAAGTTGTCTGTGTCCACCTAAAATAGGTAAAACAACTGTCCACAGTGGTACATTTAACTGATTGCCTCCCATTTTCTTGCTCTGGTTACTAAATACAGTACATCTATAGAAACAACCACGAAGAGCCACGGTACATTGATGTGTTAATGACTGAGATGCATGCCTTAGTCATATAGCTGGCAGAATTCTTCCACCATTGGTGCAGTAATCTTACATCTACTAGCCTGCAGCCATTTTCAGGATAAATGTACCATGCAAAAGCATACAATATTAGAAAGTTTGTGATGCATTGTAGCAATCCTGTAGTTCCTGTATCACAAATATATCTATTTGTGATACAAGTGCTGTTACCCAGATTTCACCCTTAGGGGTGAAACTTGGGTAACAACACCTGTATCACAAATAAATATATAACAATACCATTTAGTAAAACAGTAAACAGTTCAGCATTTGTAACCGTGGCTAGAATCTTATTACCTTATACCGCTGTATAAGGCCAATTGCACAAACAGTTTTACCTTTTCAGCTGGCTGTTGCACTCCTCTGAACTCACTTATTAAATAAACAGTTGCATGCCTGGTTGCACACACCACCCCATGATGGATAGAAAGCCCAGAGGAGAAAACAAGGTGTGCAATTGCCCTTATACCTGTGATATCTCTGAGTAGGATTTTGGTCAATGAGTTAAGAGAACAATTGAATCTATAACTCGCTGGTGTTTTTTCCTAACTGCATGTAAGTATTTACACAAAGATACATCACCGTCTACTATCTGAATTAATTATGTTGACTAGAAATACTTTTTCAATATTAGTTAAGTGATAAGTGTAGGCTTAGTTTTAAGCTTTGCTGTAGTTGTGTGCAAATATTAAGTATACAGTTCAAGTAGAATGGAAATAGAATTGTAGTTTTATCTACCAAAACTGTTCAGGAATCTGTTGTCAGCCGGCCTATTTTGCCTAATGTTTCCCAGTTAACAGTGAAGACATTCTATGATGATCATGTGCTAAACTAAAAGTAAAGGTAAAGGTTAAGGTTCCCCTTGACAATTTTTGTTCAGTCGTGTTCGACTCTAGGGGGCGGTGCTCATCCCTGTTTCCAAGCCATAGAGCCAGCGTTTTGTCCGAAGACAATCTTCCGTGGTCACATGGCCAGTGTGACTTAGACACGGAACGCTGTTACCTTCCCACCGAGGAGGTGGTCCCTATTTATCTACTTATCTGCTTGCGAACCGCTAGGTTGGCGGCAGCTGGGACAAGCGACGGGCGCTCACTCCGTCGCGTGGATTTGATCTTATGACTGCTTGGTCTTCTGACCCTGCAGCACAGGCTTCTGCAGTTTAGCCTGCAGTGCCACCACGCCCCTTGCTAAACTAAAAGGACATCCTAAAATATGTGTCATGCTGGAGCATCCAAACAGTTCTTATGTGTTTATAGTTTGTCTATAATTTCATTGCTGGGTATTTAATTTGAATAGTATTATGAATGCAGTCAGTCTTGTCGGATTTTTGAAGCTAAGCAAGATTGGATCCAATTAGTACTTGGATGGGTGACCACCACAAAATGTCAAGTACAGTATCTTCAGGTAAAGCTAGGAAAGAATCCTGCCTGAAACCTGGACAACCTCTTCCAATCAGAGATGACAGTACTGGTCTGGATGGGCCAATGGTATGATTCAGGATAAGGGAAATGTATACCTTCCTGTGGTTTTGGAGACTATCGGAAAGTCTTTGAAAGAAATCTAAGAAAATGAGCTTATACCGTGGAACTAAATGTGGCAGGGCACCACATTATCCTTGCCTTCAGAGAGACTTGTGGTTTTTTTGTGCTTTCAGGTGAAAGTCTTATTCTGTGGTATTTTTTTTCCTTTTCAGACAATGAGTTAACCAGCTTGGCTGTAGGTGAAAGTTACAAAATGTGCAAGGAGTCCTTTTTAACTTGCAACTGGAATGTTCAAAGTTGCTCAGATAATGCCAGAATTGAAGTTTAGGCATGAGCTATCTGAAAGGCTAACTACTGAATAGAAAAAGTTGGCTAATATACCAGTAGGCTGTGAACCTAAATAAATGCTAGGAACTATTATGGACTGTGTGGGTTCTTAAAACACTAATTGAAACAGCATGTGTTGAACATGAGTTTCTGTTTTTGCTTTTTACCCCCCCTTAGGATAGTTTGACAGCTGAAGATCAAGCACTCTGCAGCCTAAACTGACCCAAACATTTCAGTACAGTGGTTTAGTTACCAGTCACGAACATCCTGTCGCCACTGTTTAGAGGCCTAACACATCTGCTGTACATATCCAGGAGAACTGGCAGCATCATAGACTATACAATTAACATGTTGTACACAAATTTAACTGCTGCCTAATATATGTGAGATGTGAAGGAACCACAGAGCCAGAGGAACGGAGCCAGTTTCTCACTTGGAGAAAGAAACGGGTAGCCTTATGTTACTGAGAAATCTGTTCTCTTAATTTCTGGAAAGAAAATCCACATCTTGTAACATGTTTGTGGGGAGAGACTTGAATGAATTTGTCACTGTGTGTGGTCAAAGATGGCTAGTTCTCTCCCCAGTTTTCAGAAGCACATGCTAATTTTTTCCATATGTGGATTTAATGGGTGTAAAGATAGATTGCTAATTCATGCCTTTTATCTTTTAATTTTGCCAGTGGTTTGGTTACAAGCAGTTACTAATGTATGTACAGGCACATGCTACACTGCCAGCATGCAGCCATATCTTTAAAATATCCTGATTGCTAGATAACATATCCAGTTCAATAAATGTGTGTGGTCTACTAGAGAAGGTACAAAGTACAGAAAGTCTGGAATTTTGTGTTGTACTGCCTGGGAAAAAAACAGACTGCTGTGTTGATGCCATTTATAGAAGATAATAAAGACCTGCATTTGAGAGGCAGCAAAGATAATCTCCACAATTACTGGATCAAGAACTGGTGATTCTATTGTCTGCTATGGTTTATTCTTCCTTTCCGGGAGGATTAGAAAGTATGGTATTGGTATACGCATAGGAGACCCACAGTTGTGTAGTGGATAGAGTGTTGGACTAGGATTTGGAAAATAAGGGGTCAAATCCCATTGAGCCATTGAAACTCACAGAGGGATGGGTGGCAACAGTAAATTATTGCTTGAATATCCCACATTGAAAACCCTATTAGGATTGCTGTAAGTTGGAAGCTACTTGAGGACATATAATTTGCAGAGGGCACAGAGACTTAAAACTGCTGTTGGTCTCAAGACATCTTTCTAATTTTTTATATAAAACTGCACACTTAATTTATAATGCAGCATGCTCCATAATATTGAATTAAATCCAGCATATGGTCAAGAAGGATTCTTGTCCAATAACTATACTGTACTGTAGATCTCATTACCTAATTAAGAGTAAAAGTAAGATTATCACAGCTCCGACACACAGACAGATACTTTTCACATTTCAAAGATGGGGACTGAAGGCCTAAATCCAGTATCACATAAATCCAATGACAACACAAAGGGGCTTCCTTCCCTCCACCTCCCCCATAGACCTGGCAAAAAACTAGTTTAGGATGATAGTCCAGTCTGATCGGTTTTTGAGAGGTGGAGGCAGCTGCAGAAGGGAAGATCAACCAATTTCCCCACCCCACTGGATCCTTCTATTACTCCCATGTCTATCTGGGATAGCCTGAAATCTAGCACAACTAACAAGTGTTGATCTAAACATGAATACCAAAAATTACCACCCATTGGCACTAAAAATTATATGTTATATAATGAGTATTTAAAATGTCACATTAAAATATGGAAGATGAGTCCCTCAGGTTGGAAGGCATCCAACATGCTACCGAGGAAGAGCAGAGGAGAAGTACAAGTAGCTCCAGAGCTAATGAAGTGGTTGGGCGAAAGTCGAAAGGATGCTCAGCTGCCTGAAAGTGAAAGGAAAGTCCAATGCTGCAAAGAAAAATACTGCATAGGAACCTGGAATATAAGATCTATGAACCTTGGTAAGCTGGATGTGGTCAAATGGGAGATGGCAAGAATAAACATTGACATCCTGGGCATCAGTGAACTAAAATGGATGGGAATGGGTGAATTCAATTCAGACAATTATCACATCTACTACTGTGGTCAAGAATCCCATAGACGAAAGGGAGTAGCCCTCATATTAAACAAAAGAGTGGGAGAAGCTGTGCTGGGATACAGTCTCAAAAATGATAGAACGATTTTAATTCGAATCCAAGACAGACCTTTCAACATCACAGTAATCCAAGTGTATCCCCCACCCACCAATGCTGAAGAGGCTGAAACTGACCAACTCTATGAAGACTTACAACACCTTCTAGAACTGACAACCAAGAAAGATGTTCTTCTTATTATAGGGGATTGGAATGCTAATACAGGGAGTCGAGAGATAAAAGGAACAACAGGTACGTTTGGCCTTGGTGTTCAAATGAAGCAGGGCAAAGGCTAATAGAGTTTTGTCA